ACTACTGTTAGCGAAGCTCAAGGGATATGGATTTGGTGATGATGCTATTGAACTGTTACGATCGTATTTCTCAGAAAGGAAGAACAGAGTTAGAATGGGCAGTGAAATCATGAGCGAGTGGAAAACTGTGGTAAGATCCAGCGCTTGGAATCCGGAATCCACCATAAGTCCGGATTCCCTTACATGGGGCGATTATATCGAGAAGCAAAACTCCGTTTGTTAAATGTTTGCGAGCATGATTATCTTGCCCGTCTTTTTGCTATTCGAAAGGCCTTTTTTATTCCCTAAGTTGCATTTGTGCGTGTATTTTCTTGTGGTGCTGTCGCTTTAGTAGTGGTGCAATAGGGTTTAAACTGTGACTTCCTTCCTTTTCGAGAAATTATAAATTCTTTCCGCAGTTTTTACGTAGCTGTTGTTGTTGCTCTGAATTACTTTTGCAAAATTTAACTCGTTTGAATAGAAATACTATCACCACCAATACGAGCACAACACCAACAGCACCGAGTAGTGCTATCACCACTATGTTGGTTTTATGGAATTCATCTTGTGTTGTATTGATCGTATTTCTTCCCTTTACCACCGTCAGGTTGAAGGAACGTCTGATTGGCCTGTAGTTCCTTTGCTGTACTAAACACAAGTGTTCTCCCTCATCTTCGGGCTTGGCTTCTCGAATCTCGTACACACAGTGTCCTGTACTATCATTACACAGTGTACGATTCCTCTTCTTGATGATGACAGAAGGCGTTGGACGGCCTGTCGCTTTGCATTCGATAGTCGTTGCGTTACCTTCTGCGACCACAATTCTTCGCTCGCGCGACCATGATGAGTTTATGATTTCTGCAGGTTCTGCCGAAGGGTGCATGAAATGAAAAAAATAAATAAATGGACTTTCTTGTTTCTCTCCTTATATTCTTTTTCAGCTCTTCTTTCCTTCTTTACTCCCTTCACTGTCATGATTTGTTCCCTCGTTCCTTCATTTTGTTCCTTCGTTTTTCCGTTCATTCTTTCCTTCTTTCCCTCGTTCCATTCTTTCTTCTTTTTCTTCCCTCCTTCTCTCCCTCCTTCTTTCCTTTCTTATTTTCGATTTTCCTTCCTCCCTTCTTTCCTTTCTTCTCATCCTCCTTCTTAGCATGCACTGACTGACAATTAAAGTATGTTATAACTTACCAAATTTTACAAGTCTCAGCCAATTTGTAAGGTGGCTCCTGTCCAAACTTACTTCCACTTCTACGCCATACTTCTTGAAGTCCACATCCGTCAAGTTGTACATTACGACTCTTGCTGTACAATTCACACAGTCGTAAATATTCCCGCTCCATTTCACCTTTCTTTCAAATCCTCTACGTTTAATTACCGCGTTGCGTTTTCGGACAGCCAGGATCTCGTTTTTCACATAGCCAGGATCATCCCAAACACCAAAACGAAATTCAAATACTCCATTACTAAGTGAGCTTGACCAGGCTCCGACGTGGAAGTACCACTCTAATGTGACATTACTGCCTTTTTTACTGTACACTTCTTCGTCAGGTTTAACGATGAACGAATCTCTCGGCCTTAAAACTGATAAAATATAGTTTGCTTTAAACCAGTACATTACCAAATATTGTTTTTTTTTTTTTTTTACTAGAGCCACAGATATAATATTGCTCCACGTTAATATTAATTAAAGCGAGTTCAAGTGTAATTATTAACATGTTAGAACTTGTATAGAAAGGATGGAATGTAGTGATCGAGCCATTAGTGGAAGGCCCAGACAAAAAAAAAAAACGTTCAATTATTTTATATTATGATATTCCCTGCTGAACTGTTCAGTCATTGTTAAAAACGAAAAAGAAACTGAAAGCTTAAAAACAAATACTTT